CATACTGAAGAGATATTTATTATTATTATTAATAATAATAATAATAATAATAATATTTTATAGGAAAAAAACTCAAGAAACCTAAAACTGATAGTGTATTGGATACAATAGCTGACGCATTATCTACTCCAATGCCAAAACTTAGCTGCTATACCAGCTTTTCCGCCACCTCCAGCTCAACCAGAAATTGACGAAATAAGAGGATTTTGCTATCTAGTAGAGAAAAAGTTAAGGAAATTGCCAGAAAATAAGGCTAACGAGGTTATGTTGGACATTCACAAATTATTATTTGAAGTGGAAAATAAACTTTAAGTACATTTAAAAAAATATTGATTTTAAAAATAATTTAACAAATGTATATATTGTAAATTTGTTTTATTTATTTTTTTGTAAAAAATAAAAAAGTTTATTACATATTTGGTGAATATAAAAAATTTATAAATGATCATATTGCCATCCAAGAGAACCTTCACTATTAAAATAATTACAAAATTTCTCACGGATTTCAAATGCTGCACGTGTGCTTGTATTATTTCCCATGCGATGGATATCTTGAAATGCTGTTCGATTATCTACTAGATTTCTCCATGTTCCTTCGCTGAGTCCATTTTCATCTTCTCTATCTAGCATTTCTGGAGTAACATAGACTTTTTAATTCCAAGTCTGCTAAATCCTGCATTCGTAACCAAATATGAAGACATACAACTGCCTTAATAATTGTAATTACTCAGGATCATGATTAGATAAAATTGGTTTTCTAAAAATCCTCCATCTGCTAGCAATAATTCCAAATGTATTTTCAATTGTCCGTCTAGCACGACTTAGGCCGGTGTCCCATGCATCCGATATCCGACGTACGATATCCGATAATATTTTAATTCGTACGAATGATAATATTCCGGTGTCCCATGCATCCGAAACCCGATGTACGATATCCGATAATATTTTCACATATATTCACATGCATCCGAAATTAATCTCGTACAAATTAAGTATAGAACCATGGAATTTATTATAAGATGAAGAAGACGAAACATTATTAAATAATAACCATAGGTATATATCATAGCAAATGTAGGTATATTCTATTTTCTATGATATATATACATATGAGAGTACATCATTTATGCACGATAAACTAAATTGAATTGTAAGTACAGTTAAAATGGGATCATCATCAGAAATTTTGGAGGAAATTAGTGTTGAAACCGATGTAAGTGATTTGTTGACTTTTTTTATAATTTAGAATTTTTATGTACTAATTATCTATAGGATAATGGGGATGTACAAGCAACAACAATCGAAGAGTTGTTAATAAACTGTGTAATGGTAAGACCCCCATTATGGGATTCTCGATTATCAATAAAACAACGGTCAAAAACATTAGAGACCAATTATGGCAAGAAATTTATGAAGAATTTGGAAATAATCCTGAATTTTCTATTGAATTTTTGATGAAAAAGTGGAGGAACTTGAGAGACACATATGTTCGATTGAAAGGAGAATACATTCCCAGTGGCTCTGCTTGCAAAAAAAGAGGAAATGGGAATTCTTTGAATTGATGAAATTCCTAAACGATACATTAATCTACAAACCTACTGTATCAAATGTGGCAATATCTGAAGTAGAACAAGCTACCGTTCCATCCCCCATGATATCTCCCGAAGCCAACGAGAAGTCGCAATTGGTTTCATCGCAGAAGCGATCATCAACACAAAAAATAGAATAAGCAATTATTGATGCTTTAAATAATATTAATACAGGTCCTGTAACCCCCAATTCCTATAACTTCTAGTCCTCCTGTAAACTTTATATGTTTACGAATATCGGAGCTGCTTTCTCGAATGCCCCAGCAAGAGAGAACTCTTCTCGAGATAAAACTTCTCCAACTTACATATGAGGCAGCTAAAGATTATTTGCAATGAATATTGTTAGTAATATGTATTGCATTGGATTAGATACCTTTTTTTTGTTAACCCGAATACATCTGAACTAATTTAGTGTTAATGATTAGTGAAGGCTGAATTTTATTACATCTTATGTGATGTGATGAAATAGTTTTTAATAAATCGTTAAAATAAANATTATCTTCAGTTTCGACTCAGTTTCTGTCGAATTGGGTCGCGGCGGTCCTAACGAGCCTATCCAGAACGTCGTAGGTCGCCGGGAACGATTGAACAGCTGTAGCGGCTCAGAATATGGAAAGATGCGTAAATCTTCGATTTATCGGCTCTGGCTGCCGATTCTTTAGAAACGTGTCTTGTTTTGACTGGGTTTCTAGTAATTGGGTCACGACGATCCTTACGAGCCTATTCAGAGCGTCGTAGGTCGTCGGGAATGGAAACATGCTTAAAAATTCCAACTTTCAGTTTTTTCGCGTGTCCGTGTTCATGGTAGAGCCTAGGGATTTCCTATTTAGGTCTAGCATGCCTTATCTCGTGCTTGGCTGTCGCAGATACGTATTTTCTGATCATTTCCAGCCAGGTTGGAAAGATTGGTGAATTTCGAAAACGCTCGAAAAGCTTGTATTACGACAATAGCAACATTTTTAAATTTTATTTTTCTTACAGATGTTGCTTTCGCAACAAAGTTAATGAATGCTGCTTTACAACAAGACTCAAATTCTTTATCTAATGTGGAAGAGGATGATGGGGAAATAAGTCACGACACGGAGGCTAATGGCACCGAAGTTGCAGAGACAGAAAGTATGTAAAATAATTTTGGATATTAAGCAATATTTAACTGAAAACTTTGACAACGTTTTAGTACATGAATGTTCTAAACTTTTTCAGCTTGCTTGTACAGATGGTCAACTCCTTGCGTCCTTCTTTTTCTTGAAACATAAGGTAAAGTGGGGAGAGATGGACCAGTGGTATAGACGGACCATCCGCCATATTGCCAAAACGGCGTGCCCTATAAATGCGCAATTTCGTTACACGGCAATACACGGTTCAGTTTCCTACCAGAGCTTGCCAGAGAAACGCGTGCGCGACGTCCATTGCATATTTAGCTAAAAAAACTGAAAATTCGTTTCAAAACAACACAATTTTTTTTCGAAAGTTATAAAAATCGTGCCAATACAGCCACAGGTTATTAACTTAAAAGAACTGCAAAGAAATTTCGTTGTTTTTTTAATGGCATGCAAGTAAGTCTTGATACTGCAAAGGCAGCGATTATAGCATTAGCTATAATTCACAACATGTTTATTGATGATAATCAAGAAAATTCAGGTTAGAAAACACTTACCCCTTAAATATTTAAACAAATTAGAATATTATTTGTAGATGTAGATTCTGAAGATGAAGATTTACTAAATCCAAGACAGAATGAGGAAGGAAACCTCTTAGGGGCCGCTTTTCGACAGCAGTACATACAGAGATATTTTAGAAACCACCAAAGATAATTTTTTCTCATATGATAAGTTGTACGAATTTAAATAAAAAATTCAATAATATAAATTATTATTAATATAAAAATTAAAAAAATATATTTTCGCATTTTTCTAAATTTACATTTTTAAGTGTATATCAATTTTTTTGTTTTGTTTTTGCATGCCGACAAATTTAAAATGATAAGAAAAAGAAAAATAAAAAATGTAAATTATATTTAACATTGAAATAAATACATAGAAAAATATATTTTATTTATTTTAAATTCACGTTTGTTTTCCACACCTACTTACAAGAGAAAATAGTTACAAAATTATTATTAAAAACTATTTAAAAAAAGCGGTAATACTTGTTTATTTCCAGTAATTCTAAACGTCTCTGATGATATTCCTTTTCATTTTTCATTCTCAACTTGTGCATTTCCTCCAACTGTTGCATTTGTAGCTCTATTCTTTTCTTATTGAGATCATATAATTTATTTTCATATTCAGTCATATGGTTCAGTTTCTGTTTTCTTGTCTTTGGGGGCTGTTTAAAATGATTAATTATCTCTATTATGAAACTCATCACTCATTATAAATAGTAAATACAATGTATATACCTACAGTTATATAAAATATTAGTAATCTATACCTTTGATGGTGTTGTAGCTGCTTCTGTAGTTTTTTCGACAGTTTTATCAATTTCAATCACACTTTTTTCGACGATTTTCTAAAAAACAGTTCTTACTAAAGAACATCACAAATATTAATTACATACATACCTCCNAGGCAGCTAAAGATTATTTGCAATGAATATTGTTAGTAATATGTATTGCATTGGATTAGATACCTTTTTTTTATTAACCCGAATACATCTGAACTAATTTAGTGTTAATGATTAGTGAAGGCTGAATTTTATTACATCTTATGTGATGTGATGAAATAGTTTTTAATAAATCGTTAAAATGAAAATAAAACATGAAGATATAAATTAAATATTTATTTATTTATTCCACTGAAATGGAACTACCCCCTCATTTATAAAGTACAGCGCTAACTTATGTCTCATTTCTTCTGCGGGTCGCCCATACATATTGGTGCTTGTTCTTTTTACAGCCCCTAAGATTGCTATTTTGTTCTTTCCTCCATTCTCCTTCAATTAATTCTCCTTCATTATCTTCCTGGTCTGCAGAGCTGGGTGTAAAATAAGTTGTATTTGCAAAAGTCATTAAAAAATTATGTAGACAAACTGTAGCTTTTATGACCTTTACTACAGTGGTTTCGCTTGCTATTATTGGTTTCCTATAAATTCGCCATCTCGATGCTAGAATCCCAAATGTATTCTCAATAACCCGACGCCCTCTGCATAATCTAAAAGAATTTATTTAACATTATACTTATTCCATTTAAATTATTGTTAATAATAAGTATTTTGAATACTATTTTATGACAATAAAATTTGGCATTTCATTTACCTATAATTAAAGATTCGCTTAGTTTGTGGCAAAAAATTGCCTGCATATGGCCTCATAATGGTCGTTGACAGTGGAAATGCTTCGTCAGCACAAATGTAGTAATTCATTGGTTGTTTATACTGTTCTAATGGAGAAGGGGCTGGAAGATTTAAGTTGTTTGATATAATAAGCTTCCCAATGTTGCTATTTTTAAATATTCCTCCATCACTGTGCCTGCCTTGAGCACCAATATCGACAACCGTAAACTTATAATTGGCGTCACATAATGCTAATAGGACAATACTGTGTGTACCTTTATAGTTGTAATATATAGACCCAGACCTTGGAAGTGCCTAAAAATGTAAGTATTTATCTATAATTATATTTCTACTGCAACATTTAATTTGACTGTTATTAAATTACATTTTACTCACAGATGGCAGTATTTACCTGAATTACTACATGTTTACCGTCAAGCGCCCCCACACAATGAGGTAGTTGCCACTTTTCCTCAAAATCTTCTGCAATTTTAAGCCAAAAATTTTGGTTTAAACACTCCCAAATGGTATCACATGTTTCCCTGATAATTTTAGAAACCGTATTGTGACCAACACGGAAGGCATATGAGATTGACATCATACTGTCCCCGCTACTGAAAGAAGTAAAATGATAAAGAAAGCATACCTACATTTCTGACAATAATCTTAATTCATACAAGCTATGAAATACCTATTATTGCTTATTTTACCTTAATGTTAATGCAAATCTTTCACCAGGAGATATCGGTTCGCGTACGCAATATATCTTCGTCAGCCTTGGACCGACAATATTAAGTAATTTGTGAAAAGTATCTCCTGACATCCTTAGATAGTTGATATATTTTTGATGGTCACTCAAGCGCATTTCTTGTAATAAATTGTGATATGACCCTTGCCTTTTCCGGTTTATAAAAATATCTCGAACCCAAAACCGCCTTTGCTTGTTCTTACTCTTTCTTACGCGCAGCAGAAGATACAGAAGAAGCACTGTATTTATTTTTCGCCGTTTTTCTACATTATATAACATTTCACTGTAAATCTGCAAAACAACAACAATCACAGTATGTTAAAACTTAAAACCTTAAAAAGTGAGGTTAAAAAACCTACGATTTCGGACAAAAGTTAAAATTATTTCTACCTTTTCCGACATCGTATGAATTTTTAAAATTTTCGGATGAAAATGAGCGGTAAAATATTTGAATGTATATTAACCAACACTTTCGGACCTTCGTATCGTCGGATATCGGATGCGTGGGACACCGGCCTTAGTAGGAAATTGAAAACTTGCTTCTCTTGAGTAGTTGCTTTTTTACCTGGATATGGCCGAAGCAATCTCCGACAATGCAGTACTCCAGTACGGGTCCATCATCGAATACTGGAGATGCTGGAGGTACATTCATTGTATTATTTCCAAATCTTCTGCCAAAATTACTTTCTTGAAATATGCCTCCATCACTTCTCCTTCCATATGAACCAATGTCAACAAGAGTGCATACGAAGCCGTACAAACTGCTAATAGAACACTATGAGATCCTTTATAATTATAGTATGACGATCCAGCATTTCTTGGACACTACAATAAAATATGAATCGACTAATATTGCTATTATAAACATGTGGGAAAATAATTATGAAAATATTAACATACTTGAATTACTACATGTTTCCCATCAACAGCACCGATGCAGTGAGGAAAATCCCATTTCTCTTCAAATTGTTTGCTATTATCAATCCATTTTTCTTGAGTAAATTTATTTGGTAATACTGCAGGCTGCAAGTTTTTCCAAATAGCTTTGCAAACATCATAAATAATATTAGCTGTAGTAGTGTAACCAACTAAATATTGGTACGAGATTGATATTATGGAATCCCCAGAAGCGAGAAACCTATAAATTAAGATGATATCAACTCTTCTTATTATTCTATATTTTATTATTTAAGGTGGCCATATTTCCGGGGAAAAGTAACCCGTATTTGTAGTGTTTTTAGGTACTGGAATCTCAAAATAAAGAGCATGAAGAACAAAACTAAATGCCATCATCATCATCATCTAGTGGTTGGTCCTTTAAAAGTCCCATAGCACTGCGGCCTAATTAGGCCTATTGTACGTCCCACTACTAGTCCTATTCAGCAAGTAGATTTGTCCTTTTTACAAAGTCCAAAAGCTTCCTTGCTGACACTTCTCTCAGCTCCTTGGGTTCCAAATAGGGTCTCCCAAGGAGCGCCATTCTGCTACGTGCAAATCCCG